TTTAGAGTTTAGGGTTTAGAGGTTTAAGGTTTAGGGTTGTAGTCCCCAATTTGAACAACCCCTCAGTTTTACCGAGGCAGATGTCCAAATCACAGAGTGTCCCATCCTCAGAAATGGAGACCGAGTCAAAGTGAAAATCTTGCAAAGATAAAGATTGAAAAGTCATGGAAACTGGGTGTACATTATAATGTGGGTTTGGGCTTCTGCCTGCAACCCCAACTATGTACATTTTTATGGGTTATACCTACTTACTGGGTAGGCCCCTAGGATATTTAATATTTTTCGTAATGGCTTTAATAAGGGACCCTATATACTAATACTTTTCAAAGGGCTTTCGGGGCCAACCCAGCTTATTAGAGGGAAATTTCTACTAAGCTGCAGGTAATAGCGGCAATGAGACAAGAATGCGCACCATCTCAAGCTCCACCTAACTTGTGCATTTAGGGATTGTCCTAAATTACTGNNTACGGGGTCCTATATTTAGGTTCCCATTATAATACGGGGCCCTATATAAATTTCCCCCATTTTGGGAACAGTAATTTGGGGAAACTTTCATTTAGAGGGTTTATATTCCCCCTTAAGTAGATAGAATATGGGGGTATATGGGGGATCTTAGTCTAATATACCCAGAGCCATGCTCTATCTACTTAAGGGGGACTATATAGGTATAGGATTTAGTGTAGAGGCTAAAGTGGAGAATCAAAAGGAGCGGAATATGGAAAGTGAACTGGATACTGGGTTTGTATCGTGATTCATGCAGCTGAAACTAACTTTCCACTAAATTTCCATACCATGTGGATATCCAATGAATGCTGGTCTTCTGTGCTCTCAACCCAAACATATCAAACATTTCACCCCCTACCAACAACTAGATCCCTATAGTAGTCCCTAAACCCTAAACCCTAAACCCTTAGTAGCCCCTATACATATGTATCCACCCGTACCAGGGCAGCTTTCATTCTCTTTGGTATCCCTAAGCCCTAAGCCCTAAAACCTAAAACTCTAAACCCTAAACCCTTAAACCCTAAACCTCAAAACCTAAACCCTAAACCCAGTCAGGTCTGGCCGGCCCCTCACCAGTTGCGGGCTGAGCAAGACTAGTTGCTTTCTGCAAGTATGCTGTAGGGTTTAGGATTTGGGGCTTAGGATTTAGGGTTTAGGGTATAGGGTCTAGAGTCTAGGGTTGTGGGAAAAAGCCTATGCCTGCTTCCCCATTTTCCAAAATTAGGGGTACCCTTTAAAGGGCGATTACGGGTTATGGAGGGGTATAAGGAAGTTTCCCAAATTACGGGTACCGTTTCGGGGGTCCCCATAATGAGGATTATAGTATTTGGGTCCCCCTTATTTTGGGAAACTACCATATACCACCTCAATCTCACACCTTACATGTGCGCGCATCATCAGCCATTGGGAGAAGAACATGGGAGAGTGCTTTGAGGCTTGTGCTCCTATGTGCGGCTACGTGCAGCCGTCACCAACATAGCAGCCTCAACAGGCAGGCGGCATAAGTTAGGAGGACCGCCCCACCCTGTAATAGTGGTATAATGGGAATATAATAGGACCTTAGTATAATCCTTATTATCCCTTATAGCCACTATTACAGGATGGGGGGTCCACCTAAGGCATGAGTGTGGTGAAATGGCACTATCAGCATCATTGATCCTAGTGTGGTGTCGCATGAGCCATAATCTTAACTCCTTAAAGGGGTATGCGAGGGATTATTATAGGGGATTACTATAGGGGTTATTAAGGGGGATGCTAGGAGTTGCGATCTTAATCCCTAAACCTTAAGCCCTAGGGTTGTGCAGGGGGATACTAGGAGTTTAGACTGTAGCTCATATTGCCAGGTCGTAGTAAGTTGTGCAAATGTCAATGACAAGGAAGCCCGCAGAATTCGGCAAGAGCATGTAAAAGTACACAAACCCTACTTCGACGCAGCCACTAGTACTAGTAGTAGTAGTAGTAGTAGTAGGAGTAGCAGTAGTAGTAGCAGCAGCAGTAGTAGCAGCAGTAGTAGTAGTAGCAGCAGTAGTAGTAGTAGTAGTAGTACAAGTAGTAATAATAGTAATAGTAGTTGTGAGACAAGTAGTAATAATAGAAATAACGATAGTGATAACCATGGTAGTCATAATAGTAATAGTAGTAGTAGTAGTAATATTGCCACGAACAGGTGCGTCTGGGAGGGCCAGGAGCTACCGCGTGAATGAACAGCTACCTCCGGCCAGCTACTCTGGTTCGAGAGGGGGTTGTGTTTAAACCTTGCGCTTGTTCTCGACTTCGCTTGCAGTGATAGGTCGACGTGTAGTTGCTTTTATGGGTAGTATTGCTAGTAGTCTGATTATTTGTATTTTTTGAGTGAGACCACCTTCTAGTCAGCAAGCGAAGTCGACCACTTCCCTCTTGTGGAATGTATGTTTTCTGGCAGCCGAAGCGGCCAAAGCAAGTTTCACATTGAAGGTGTTTGTGAGCTTCTGAAGGCGCTACAGCGAAAGCTGCATAGTTCCTGGGTCTCTACTCCCATCTACTCCCTACGAAATGCCTATATTACCTTACAGAATCCCCATATAACCCTGTAGCTCCGCACACCTTCACTTACAGGCCTAAGGCGCCGATTTTTTACAGCGTTCCCCAGCCAACCCTGTCCACATCCCCCACTCGGCCGTCGAAGCAGCTTAGCATCACCGTCCCCACGGTCACCTCTCTCAGAACCCTCTCTAGGTAGGAAAAGCCCAAATTGTAACCAGGAAGTATCCTAAATTCGTTGTAGTTAGTATAAAGACACCACTGGCGTTTCGTAACATGGCTACACTTCGTGGCACTCAGGCGGGCGAGTTGCCGAAGGCAACTCATGCCAATGAAGCTCTTTGGGCTTTACTGGGTTGCTGTTAA